TACAATGTATGTTTGTGTGTGCATGTGTTTATGTGCTTGTGTGTGTGTGTGTGTGTGTGTGTGTGTGTGTGTGTGAGTGTGAGTGTGTGTGCGCGCGCATGTGCTCGAAAGCACGCGTGTCTGTTTCTGACTGACAGAAAAGTTATTCCTTGTGGATTTTATTCCCTATAAGGTTAAATGAATCGAAAAAGTACCCTATATATGTCAATAGCTTGATCCGTACACATCTCAACGAGTTACGGGTTCCCTACGTGTCATTACGAAATGTGCTAATGAAAAAGGTCATACATGCATGTTTCAACAGCTCATGTGGGTTGCCCTATAACAAGATTGACATTGATATTCCTTCTGGCAAAAGCCACGAACCGGGGAAGGAGGACAAAATCCCCTTTGGGATTTACACACTTTCTATTTCACCCTCAGTATTGTTATACAGAAGTGCTGGTACCGAAGAAATAGGAGGAATTTCGTAACGAGTGACCACTATGAAACAGAGTAGAAAAGAGGGGTAGGGTTATGGTGAGGGGTAGAATTAAAGTTAGGGTTTGGGGTAGGGGTAGAGGTAAGGGTAAGGGTAGGGGTAGGGGTAGGGGTAGGGTCAGGGTTAGGGGGTAGGGTTAATGTATTTGTTAGGGTGGTCACTCGTTACGGAAGTCCTTCCAAAGAAACTGTAGTTACTGCATTTTTATGGCACTAAAACACTGTATGATGATAGCGACTCTCTAAACAAGGGAACAGGGGGAAGACAAGACTAAACTTCTTAAACTTGGTAAACTCCACAAAGCCATCTTTGAGTTCATCACTCGTACGTCCTGTCTCTTTTATGTTGTTTATCTGTGGGTTTTTCTAGCTCATTGTTTTGCCTGCATTAAATGTCCGTTATCGAATCAGTGTGGTTCTCTTTATTCAAGGGCAACTAACTAGCGATGATCACTAGACTCGATGATAAAGTTTGCGCTGCCTCTAAGACTTTCACTTCCTCATATCACAACTCTGTATTGAAAACAACAACAACAAAAGCAACAAAGTTACAGCATCAGAAAAAAAATTGTTACCAACATCACCAGTACTGTGGCAAGATTGACTTTCTTCTAACTCTTTGAGTGTTGTGTCACCATGATACCATAAGTTAACGAAATTGGGGAACACGTGAACGTTTGTAGTTCAATTTCAAGTAGGATAAAACGTTAATTTGTCTCGCCCCTACCCTGCTGACGAGGCACTGATGTTGCAATCATAACGCCCGATCTTAGGAACTTCATGTTTTTTCCCTGTTTCGACGAAAACCCCTTTGCAAGCACTGAAATCCAGCCGTGAAAACCTGTGTCTATACAAAATGAAACTAAATTTCTTTGGAAATCGGGCATTAACCGTAATTTGGGCTAAAAGAGATAGATTTTTCAAATATATGTACTTTGTCAATTCTGACAAAAACTCCCGACGCTTGGAGACTGGAGTTTGTTCAAGATAGAACTCCGCCCGCAAACGGGCGTCTTCACACACACACACACACACACACACACACACACACACACACACACACACACACACATACACACACACACACACACACAGGCACACACACACACACACACACACACACACACACACACACACACACACACACACAAACACACACACACACACACACAAACACACCCACACACCCACACGCACACACATACACACACACACACACACACACACACACACTCATGACTAGACAAGGACCGGGAAACAGCAACTGTACTAAACGAGTACCGCATCTTGGTGGTATTGAACAAGGTACATGTGTATTAACAAATTGATGCTGAACGTTTTTGTCGTGTTTTTTTCTGCTGACAGATTAAGTTAGAATACTGAATGAAAATAAACCCTCTTCAGGCCTTAAATTGCACTGGTAACATTTAAAAACGGCTAAGTGTTGTTGAAAAACTTAGTCAATCTTTGCTCAACAAGAGGGCAGTTCAGTTGTGAAGTACGACAGCATTTTAGAGCACAATACCACGTTGAATGTTTTTTTGTGGCTCGCGTATGATTTTAAAAGGAATCTCACAACAACTGAAAATTAATGTGTCATATGACCTTATGCAGTTGCGAGTGCCGTAAAACACTTAGCCGATTTTTTTTATTTTAAAAAATCTCACAGCAGGGCTCAACAATCTTAACATTAGAACTAGATTCTATATGTTTTCATCAGCTAGCTATATCTATCGGAGAAAAACACACTATATAATTTTAGGGTCATGAGTTGTTCTGGTTGTAAGTGTTGAGAGTGGAGTTGTTTTAGAATGCTCCAAGGTCTGCTGGGGGATAATATTATAGATTGCGTCGATTTTGCTGTTGAGAGGGGATTTGGGCTATACAATTGCTATTTATTATTATTATTATTATTATTTATGTTATAAACTGTCATGCGGGTGGTTGGTGGGTGCTCGGATGTGATTTGCATCTTCTTTCTAACCAAACATACATGTATATCGTCTTTATCTGTCCTCCTTTTTGTGTTTGTTACTCTCTTGTGGGCTACTATCTCTATTCTTTGGCGTTCAAATGACTTTATTGTGCTGTAAGTGCCGTAAAACTCTCACTGAAACTAATTTTAAAAACTGTCATTTTTTCGAACTTCTCAGGATATGGACGACAAATTCTCCGATCTGCTCGTCACTCACGCGGCCATAAGAAGCATCTCCGAGAAAACGAAACCGAAGGACTACAAGGAAAACTGCGAGGTGAATGAAAAGCTTAATGAACACTGTTGAAAAGGAGTCAATTGGACAGCAACAGTAGGGTTTTTGAGGTGGATGGCTCGTGAGATTTTTTTTAGGAGAAGAAAGAATGGAAGGGAGAGGGACTTAATGAGTAGGACAGAGTGTTCGGAAGAAGAAGAAGAAGAAGAAGAAGAAGAAGAAGAAGAAGAAGAAGAAGAAGAAGAAGAAGAAGAAGAAGAAGAAGAAGAAGAAGAAGAAGAAGAAGAAGAAGAAGAAGAAGAAGAAGAAGAAGAAAAAGAGGAAGAGGAGGAAGAAGAAGAAGAAGAAGAAGAAGAAGAAGAAGAAGAAGAAGAACAAGGAGAACAAGAAGAACAAGAAGAACAAGAAGAAGAACAAGAAGAAAGGGGTAGGAGGAGGGAAAGGAGGAAGTGGTAGGAGGAGGAGGGGGCAGGCGGAAGAGGAGGAGGAGGAAGAGAATACGGGCATGTGATCATTGTGATGTGCAAATACATGAGTGAGAAGTGTGGATAAGGGTGTTTGCATGTGGGTGTATGTGTATTTTGTGTGTGTGTGTGTGTGTGTGTGTGTGTGTGTGTGTGTGTCTGTGTGTGCGTGTATGGTTATATAACAATGTGTGTATGTGCATGTTTGTGTATGTGTTTGTATGTGCATGTGTGTGTGTTTGTGAGCGTGTGCGTGTGTATGATTGTTTGTTGGTTGGGGGAGGGGGGGGGGCTTACACATTTTATTCTTACCATGAAAGTTATCCTGTTCTTTCTCCAAGGTCCATGACTACGGCAGTGACATCCATGGGAAGTTGGACGTATTCAAAGACGTCATACGAAGATTGGATACCGCCTCGCCCTCGGCGCTGTTTGAGACGAAGAGAGCTTTGCAGGTGGGTATTCGACAGTCTGTTAGTAAGTGTATGGTTTAACCCTGTGACGACGCGCATTCTGGTCATTCCACTTAAAGACAGGAGTTCCCTTTAAGGACTTCTCTGTTGACATCCACCCCTTGACACTCATATGACCTTATGCAGTTGCAAGCGCCGTAAAATCTCTACTACAGCTAAAACTAAAAACAGAAGACGGAATGTTTTGTGGCATTTTAAAAAAAGGAACATAAATTCCTTTTCGAAACAGCTGTGTTTTCTTAATTAATTTAACTGAACCTTTAAAAAGGGCAGGCAATAATAAGCGTATTGTGAAGTGTGCAAGTGTATGTTTCCGATTAACTGTGTACGGTTGTTGGAAACGTGCTTGAACTCTGCCTTTGGTCTACTGCTCGTCAGATATGTGTCCCCAACGACCTCAAGGAGTTAACGCCCACTATCAACACTGTAATATTATCTAAGAGGCGTCCGATAGGACCCAACCAAATAGGCCGAGAGCTTTGAAAACTCCACAAAAAGACACGAGTTCGAGAACACCCAGTACGGGTTTGTACCAGGACCGTCCACTCCGTAGTACAACATGGTAACAACTGAGCTAACGGAACGAGCGCGTCACTTGACTGTTTATCTGTCTTTTCTTTTACCTATGTGTGTGTTTGTGTGCGCGTGGGGGTGGGATGGGTTTTTTTTGGGGGGGGGATTGCAGAGAGTGTATAACATGCACACACA